AGGCTAGCATTTCTGAAATATAATTTATAATATCAAGCAATAAAAAGGAAATTAAAAATAAAAGCAAATTCAAGTGACATACAAGGTAAGTGGAAAAATACACATATCTGCTTCAACAATAACTGACAAGCTTATCACATTAATAGACCTTGTTGTATCCCATATTTATTTTTCTTTTATTACCAACTATACTACTACACTAAAGGTTTACACAGATGGGAACTAATTTGTTCCCTCAATTTACCGATCTTCTGTTTATAGCCTCCTAAGAAAATAAGAGGAGATTTTCCTCTATCTCCTAGAAAGCTCCATTCAGTTTCCTACACAGGTTTTGAGTGATACTTGCCTGACAGGACTGTAACCATTTGAAATACCACCAACTACCTAAGCTGTAGTATATTGTCCATAATATATATAATATTACACAGAACCATGCAAGAAAGATTACATATGTATAATAATAGCAAGATTTGTCTGCTAAAAACTTTTCTCCGTGAGAAATTACATTCAGAATTTTTGTTTCGTTATTTATAAACTTAAAATATGTTCTCAGGAAAAAAAAACAAAGTAGTAATTTTCTAGGCTGTATTTTTCTGAAGAAAGCAGTCACTTAGCATTTACAATCAGAAAGAAAAATTACATCTACTATTGAATAGCAACAATGAATGTGTTACATTTTTATTAAATGTGTTCCATAAAAATATTTTTAAGGGAGTCTATAGTAATGCAGAAAACTCTATGAACTGCATCAGTTAAGTTTAAAAAATTGGGACATTTCCATCATTGCCTCTAAGAAGTATGTGATATTATGTAAGTCTAGTTTTGCTTCTATGGAAGTACATAAAATAAGCAAAATTTTGGTACCAATGCATTACCAGGAAGGGTAAATGTTCACCTTAGTATCTTACTTATGTAATTGACAAATAAAAATAAAAGCAAACGAAAACATAAAGTGGAAAAAGGACACCCTATTCAATAAATGGTCCTGGGATAAATGGCAAGCCACATGCAGAACAATGAGGCTGTATCTTCATCTCTTACCTTATACAAAACCCAAATCCAGACGGATCAAAGACTTAAATCTAAGATCTAAAACCATAAGAATTCTAAAAGATAACATCAGAAAAACTCTTCTCGACATTGGCTTAGGCAAAGAGTTCATGACCAAGAACTCAAAAGCAAATGCAACAAAAATAAAGACAAATAGATGAGACCTAATTAAACTAGAAAGCTTCCTTAAAGCAAAAGAAATAATCAGCAGAGGTAAAGGACAACCCACAGAGCAGGAGAAAATATTTGCAAACTATGTATCTGACAAAGACTAATATCCATAATCTACAGGGAACTCAAATCAGCAAGAAAAAAACAGATACTCCCATCAAAAAAGTGTGCAAAGGATATGAATAGAGAATTCTCAAAAGAAGATATACAAACTGCCAACAAACATATTAAAAAATGCTCAACATCGCTAATTATCAGGGAAATGCAAATCAAAACCACAATGCAATATCACCTTACTCCTGCAAGAATGGCCATAATTAAGAAATCAAACAATCACAGATGTTGGTGTGGATGTGGTAAAAGGTGAACACTTCTACACTCCTGGTGGGAACATAAAGTAGTACAACCACCATAGATAACTGGGGAGATTCCTTAAAGAAATAAAAGTAGAGCTCCTATTTGATCCATCAATCCCACTACTGGGTGTACTGGGTATCTATCTACCTAGAGGAAAAGAAGTCATTTGTAGCAGCACAATTTGCAATTGCAAAAAAATATGGAACCAATCCAAATTCCCATCAACTAATAAGTGGATAAAGAAATTGTGAAATATATATATATGTATATATATATATATATATATATATATATGCCCTCCCACACCCCCTCCCATAGAATACTATTCAGCAATAAAAAGAAACAAAATAATGGCATTTGAAGCAACCTGGATGGAGCTGGAGACCAGTATTCGAAGTGAAGTAACTCAGGAATGGAAAACCAAACATCATATATGTTCTCACACTGGTGGCTAAGCTATGAGGACCAGCAACATAAGAATGATATAATGGACTCTGGGAACTCAGGGGGAAGGATGGGAGGGTAGCGAGGGGATAGAAGACTACACATATAGTACAGTGTACACTGCTTGGGTGATGGGTGCACCGAAATCTTAGAAATCACCACTGAAGAACTTCCCCATGCAACCAAACACCACCTGTTCCACGAAAACTACCGAAATAAAAATAAAAATTAAATAAAATCAGAATCCTCCAACCTACTGTACAGACCCTCTCATGGCCAAGGAGACCCCAGAGAAATCTAAAAACTGAGATCCCAACTATGATGAGGAGAGGAGAGGCTGGACCCACCTCATTATACCTCCTCCTTCACTACCGTAAGGCTTTTTTCCCTAAGGGTTAAACGGAAGTCAGCCCTTTTTAAAGACTCATACAAGGAAAATGTGGCACATATACACCATGGAATACTATGCAGCCATAAAAAACGGTGAGTTCATGTCCTTTGTAGGGACATGGCTAAATCTGGAAACCATCATTCTCAGCAAACTGACACAAGAACAGAAAACCAAACACCGCATGTTCTCACTCATAGGTGGGTGTTGAACAATGAGAACACGTGGACACAGGGAGGGGAGCATCACACACTTTGGTGTTGGGGAGACGGGGGAGGGACAGTGGTGGGTACGGAGGTTGGGGAGGGATAACATGGGGAGAAATGACAGATATAGGTGACGGGGGAATGGAGGCAGCAAACCATATTGTCATGTATGTACCTACGCAACAATCCTGCATGATCTGCGCATGTACCCCAGAACCGTGAGTACAATATATATATTGTAATTATAATTAGGTATCAGTGAGAAACTGTTTTGCCAAAGCAAATGAATTTAAATTCCCTCTCAAAATCCCTTGTATGCCCTTATGTTCCTGGCTGTAGCCTTTACCGTAGTGTGCTATTAGACAAGTCTGTCACAATCTGTTTTCTCATCTATAAAATAGTGATTACAGTATCTATCACATACAGTCATGAACATTTTACTTGGGGCAATTTGGAAATTCCTCATACTTAGTAAAAGTTTAATAAAAAATTTTTTGCCTTTAAAAAAAAAAAAAAGACTCACTCCATGACTCATATCATCATACCTGATGCCGCCCCTCCCTTTTTGTGGTTTAGATATAGCAAGGAACCAACGTTCCTTCCTAAGAAGAGGCCACCAATCACAGAGCAGTTATGGCTAGTCAAAAGTATGCTCAGCAAGAGTTTCTACGTCCTCTGCTTCACCTTTTGACATCAGAGGGCTGAAAACTCCACCCCTGAATTGTGCTGACATGGCCATTTTTTGTACGCGGGTCCCAGGCTGAGGCTGAAGCTCAATTGTGCATGTGCATGTTTCTGCTTTCATAAATTTCCTTATTTAATATGTATCTTTTACAACCTCATTCAGCATAAATCCCTGTCAATCACCCTCAAAGCGCCTGTCTTGGTCAAAGGCTATGTTTCTCAGCCTGCAGAAAGGCCACCTTGAAAGCTGTAACTCTATAAAAAATGAACTCTCAGCTAAGGGGCGGTGGCTCAGGCCTGTAATCCCAGCACTTCGGGAGGCTGAGGAGGGTGGATCACCTGAGGTCAGGAGTATCATGACCAGCCTGGCCAACATGTGAAACCCCATCTCTACTAAAAATACAAAAATTAGCCAGGTGTGGTGGTGTGCACCTGCAATCCCAGCTACTCAGAAGGCTGAGTTCAGGAGAATCCCTTGAACCCAGGAGGTGGAGATTGCAGTGAGTCGGGATCACGCCACTGCAACTCCGGCCTGGGTGACAAGAATGAAATTCTGTCTCAAAAAAAGAAAAAAAAGTCTCCTCTAACTTTTTCTAAATTTATATATTGTGGATTTTTTTTATGTTAACATAGTTAAAGAGACTTTTAAAACAATCTAAGAAGTGATATTTTACTTTTGCATAGCTTAGCAATGTATTAATACATTCAATTTTATTTTTTGAAATGTACAGGTATTTTATAATTTTTTTTTTTTTTTTTTTTGAGACAGAGTTTCGCTCTTGTTGCCCAGGCTGGAGTGCAATGGCGCGATCTCGGCTCACCGCAACCTCCGCCTCCCGGGTTCATGCAATTCTCCTGCCTCAGCCTCCTGAGTAGCTGGGATTACAGGCACGCGCCACCATGCCCAGCTAATTTTTTTTTACTATTTTTAGTAGAGACGGGGTTTCACCATGTTGACCAGGATGGTCTCGATCTCTTGACCTCGTGATCCACCCGCCTCGGCCTCCCAAAGTGCTGGGATTACAGGCTTGAGCCACCGCGCCCGGCCCGGTATTTTACAATATTTTAATAATATAATACAATTCATTTAAAATTCTTGGTGTATACATTAAAATGACCTTCAAATTAGATTGAACACTGCATTGCTTCTAACCAAAGAAATTGGAGAGAAAGTAAGATGAGAGAAATGTGGAGAAACTCAAAAATACCTGCCTTTAAAGAAAAAGGTCAAGGACACTTGAACTTTTCTACATAACAATAACAGAATGACTTTTAAAGTTTCCTCTGGAATCTCCCCCACACATTAACTTTATGGTCCTAAATTGATTTTTTTGTGTGTTTTTAAATGGTCAAGGGATGAACAAAGAACAGAAGTTTTGTTCCTAATTTCTCATGCAGCCTTTAACTGCTATAACTTCCTAAGGACAGATTATGGATAAGAAAAACCTGTAGGGCCTCAAACCAGTTCTGGCATTTGCACATCATGAATCAAAAGGAATTTTGAGGAATAAACACATTCTTTACAAAGAGTTGAGAAGCAACTATGTGAGAAGAGAGAGAAGCTTTTTCCTTGACTGTTATCACAGACAAATAGCACTGATAATGCAAGATTTTGTACATTTACTTATTTTTAAAATTTAGAATAACAAGACCAAAATGATTGGAAACAGAATTTGTAAATCCAAAATGTCTAGACTTACTGGTACATGCCATAGAAGGTGGGTCTTTTTCAGCTCGGAAATAACCCTTTTCACACTGACAGACAGAAGTTGCTTCCATGTATGTTAAACTATGTGGAGGGCATTTAGAACATTTTGTGTTCCCAGCAAAAGCTTTATAGAATCCTGGTCTGCAAGCTGTAAAAAAAAGAAAAAAAAAGAACATTTTTTAGTTGTTATTGCTAAAATTCTTTTATTCGTACATGTGCAACATACTTTAATTTATACACACAGTAGTTCTCAGAGTAGTGTTATACATACATAAAGACGTCATATATGTTAATATTAACAAATGAAATTAGTTATTGAGAGTTAATAAAACCCACTATGCCGTCATAGTTTAGCTGAGGCTGCTAATTTGTAAAATCATACCTCAAGCATATACACACACACACACACACACACACACACACACACACACGGGCACATGCACACAAAATATCAGTGCTTACTTAAGTTACCTAAGAATGGGGATGTCCTCAACTGGCAGTAAGAGAAATTGTTTTGAGTTGTTCTCGGAGATAGCATTAAATAACATTAAATCACACTGTTCAAAATGTATTTACATTCTGTTTTCTCTTCAGTTCTGGTGCGTGCTCAAGAAGAAAATTCTAATTTGGTGAAAGTGTGTCTTTAAAACCTTTGTCAGTGGCTAAATTTTGTTTTATATATGCTGTAACTCTGTTTTATTAATAGTTTATGTTCGCTTTTATAATAAGATTTTTTAAATGATCTAATAATTCAAAAGAAGCAATATTATTAATTCTGCATGGTAAAATTATTATCAAGAGGTTGGTTATTCAATATCAACATCAACCAGATGTGGTGGTACACAAATATACAACAATGGTCTCTTCAATAACTTGTTGATAAATAAATAGTATATAGTTCATTAAAAAAACTACCATTAAAATGTTTTTCTAAAATTTAGGAAATTGGAGTATATAAATAATATATGAGAAACACCACTAACATTTTCAAAATTGAAATATTGTTTAAAAATCTTTAATTACTAAATGTGATCTCATGACAGCAGTTACAACACAATGTATCATAAAATACTCAATAAATCTACCTTATGCAGTTTTCCAATAAAATAATTGTTTTCTACTAAAATATGCAGTTTAAAATACACGAATATATTCAACAGGGTAGGTCTGTTAGTAATTTGCCAAACAGTTTAAAAAGTTGGACCTGAAATTTAAAGAATACCTTTAATCTGTAACAATATTTAAAAACAGAATATACTAGTCAATGTATAGGGAACATGCAAATCTCAATGGGGAGCTTACATTCTAAATATTGCAATGGTATTTAAAATATTTTAAGATAAAGTAATATTTAAAATATTAAAATAAAGTAATATTTAAAATATTATTTAAAAGGCTTTTTATGTTATTTGGTGAAGTAAGACTATTTTACATTAATTAGAAACATGGATGCCATAGAACCACAATATAAAAATATTTATTACATGTACATATATGGGACCTATAAGACACATAAAGAAGAGTTATAAGCATATTGTTTTCTTCGTTTAATCAGCCATTCAAATTTCAGTCAAAAACACTCTTCAGAATATAAAGTAGCCTTGCTTGTAACTTAATTTTGTGCAGCAAGACATTGTTACCTTTTATTTGCTTTCTTTGGTAGCTAAAACAAGAATTTAAATAATTTCCCAGCTGAAGTGTTTTCTGTTAATTTATCACTTCTTACAATCTTTCCAGAATGCTTAGAACACCTCCTAAGATACTTAGAATAGGCTAGTGATATTCAACTGTTCTTGATAACAGTCTAATAACTAGCCTCTCAGCAACTATTCTTGCCCACTTTAATCCGTTCTTCAGACAGAGTGATCTTCTAAACATACTGTATCTAACAGCAGTATAAAGTGAGACATATATACATAACGTTAAATTTTGTAGTAGTCACATTAAAATACTAAAAACAGGTGAAATTATATTTTAATAACATTTTATTTAACCCAATATATCCAAAATATTATTTCAACATAAAACCAAGCATTGAAATATTTTACATTCTTTGAATTTTTAAAATTTTTTGGTTAAAGTATTTGAAATCCGGTATGTACTTTACACTTACAGCAGGTCTCAATTCAAACTAACTGCCTTTCAAGTGCCCAAAGACCTCATATGGCTAGTGAATATCATAGTGGACAGCACAATTGTAAACACAGAAATCTATTCATCACATTCTCCTATTTCAAAAATTTGGATAATTTCCCACCCTATTAATGTTAAAGTTGCCCATGATTTGGCTCTGCCTACCTCTCCAAGCACATCAGATGAAGACACTCCCTTCCTGCACCTTCTTGGTTAAGGCTTTGCCCTTCTGCAGTCTATGCTCAACCCAGTAGCTGATGATCTCCTGAAAGCATGTATAATACTGTGTTACGACTGGGCTTAGAACCTTCCGATGGCTTTCTCTTCCTCGAAGAGTAAAGGTTGTTGCCTTCTTAATCGCCTCCCAAGCACTGCCTGGTTTTGCTCCCCACCCGCTGTGACCTTCCTTTCCATTCCCTACATTTTATTTCCTTTAGATACTTTGATCTAGCCACAGGCCTTTTTCAGAATCTTGGACACCCAAAGCTTGCTCCCACAACAGGGCGTTTTTAAACATTTGCTCTTACTCAGCTCTCTGTGTGGTTTGGTGCTTCCCTTACATCAGCTCTTTGTTCAAATGTCACCGAATTAATGAAGCCTTCCTTGATTCCTTGTTTAAAATTTCGACTCCTGCTACACCCCACTGCAATACTCCATAATCTGCTCCCTCTCCAGAGAACTTCAAATCTGATACATGATGCATTTCATTTTTAAATCACGCTGCAGTAAAATGTATGCTCCAAAAAGGCAGATATTTTTCTTCGTTTTTGTTTTCTAAGCATTTCCAGGGTCTAGAACAGCGCTAGCCATTATTAGACCCTCAATGAGGCGTATTTGGCAAAGAAATGAATGATTGCCAAAGACTTCGTTTAATTTCCGTAGTTTTACTATGTTGTTTTTCCTGCTTTGAGGTTTTCTCTATTGAAAAATCTCTTCCCTGTATCTCTCCCCCATGACACAAGCATGTTGCCAGTTCCTCATAACCGCCATGGCTGTGATTCACTTATCTTTTAGCTCACTGTTCTTTAAGAGGGCCATTCTGACTTTTTAAACCAGATTTAGTTTCTCAAAGGACCTGGGACTTTTCCACACTAGTTGGCCCTTGGTAATTACCTGTTTAATGGCTGTAAGCACCACAAGAACATTTTTGCCCAGTGCTTAGTGCTTGTCATAACGTAGGTGCTCAATACATACTCGTTTAATTGAACTGGATTGTGTGTGAGTACTCTTCTAATTGAATTTCTGCAAAAGATTATGCATGTCTACTTAATGCATGGTCTGATAATGGCACAATTTATCTTTCTATAGATTTATATGTTTTCTGCTTAATGTATTATAGGTAAGGAGTGAAAACATTCAGTAAGTATGTTCAAAGTGATTTAACTGTGCCTGAAAAATGATTGTTCTAATATTGCAAGATGACCTAGCTATTAACAACCATTTTTAACAACCATTATTAACCTTTCCATTTGAAATGGTTATTAGTGTGAACTTGGATTTTCCTTCTAATGCAAAAACAAAAAAAAAAACAAAAAATAAAAATAAAAATTGGATAAAGGGGCTGCAACTTTCAACTCTATCCCTGATTTCAAATGTTTTTTATACATCAACTTGCCTTTGAAAGCCTTAAAATTTTGCACTCTTAAAATATATTTGGATTATTTAAATATTTCTGTTTTGATATTAACATTTAGTATAATATTTCATTTAAAAATAAATAATTCTGTTGTCCAAAAGTTATTGTTGAGGCACTCACATTCTCTTATACAGCACACATTAATAGTATACAGCATATACCTTTCACTGAGATCATATCATATTAGATTACAACTATTTTACCACATGTTATCTCAGCTTTGTGTAACTGCCACAAGCTAGAGACGGGGGTTAATATTCTAGTATCCACAATGTCTAGCATATTTCAGACATTTATTTATTTATTTATTTATTTATTTATTTATTTATTTATTTTGTTGTTGAGAGGGAGTCTGACTCTGTCACCCAAGCTGGAGTGCAGTGGCACAATCTCAGCTCACCATATCCTCTGCTTTCCAGTTCAAGTGATTCTCCTGCCTCGGCCTCCTGAGTAGGTGGGCTTACAGGCATCCACCACCATGCCTAGCTAACTTTTGTATTTTAGTAGAGACAGGGTTTCACCACGTTGGCCAGGCTAGTCTCAAACTCCTAATCTCAAGTGATCCACCTGCCTCAGCCTCCCAGGGTACCGGGATTCTAGGCGTGAGCCAGCGCACCTGGCCTTTAGTTTTTATAAACAACGGAAGAATGCAATGAAGGTAAATAAATGGTGAATGCTAATACCTAATATGACATAACGTAACAAGAGCTCTGTAAATTGAATAAGTATTCTGTGTATCTATTTAGTTAGTGGTCTGAGGTTTTGTTAGAATTAGGTTATAAATGGGATATCAGTGTCTTGAGACTGAGAACTTTTAAATTTATTTCTCATAGATTCCTTCCTTCTCTATCATTTCCTTATTTTTCTATTTATATTAAAGGATCTGTAAACTTCTTGCTTTCAAGAAACAAACCATGTTGGAAAGTTATAGGTTATTTAAGGAAGTGGTTTCTATTATTCTTTCTTCAGAAAAATGTGTTGGGGTACATATCTTTAGTTTAAACTTCCATTACCTGTTTTTTTTTTTTCCCTGAGATGGAATCTCACTCTGTTACCAGGCTAAAGTGCAGTGGTGCGATCTCAGCTCACTGCAAACCTCTGACTCCCTGGTTCAAGCAATTCTGCCTCCCCTCCGGAGTAGCTGGAATTACAGGCATGAGCCACCACATCTAGCTAATTTTTTGTATTTTTAGTAGAGACGAGGTTTCATCATGTTGGGCAAGATGGTCTCAATCTCCTGACCTCATGATCTGCCTGTCTTGGCCTCCCAAAGTGCTGGAATTACAGGTGTGAACCACTGCACCCAGCCTACGTTACATTTTTAATTTCTACTTTTAACTTTTCCTCCATAATAATACAGATTTATTATTTAAATCTAC